GCCTTACATGGCTTTATAAAGGTTCTTTTGAAATTATTCTGACACAGATCTAATTGCTTTCTGGATATTAATTTATATTTTTTTCCACACAAAAACATGAAGGAATATTAGTATATAACATTTTTTTCTAAGGAAGGATTGGAAATACTTTATTTAAAATGCATTAATCAGGACCAGAAAAACACTATTGTAACAATATTCCCTAAAAAATAATTCCATCCTGGTCTCAAGATGGAGGGTCCTCCCATTTCCAATCTTCACTGCCTCTCTATTTAGAAAATCTATGATTCAGTCCTGAGCCTTTTCACTAAGTACAGATAATAGATTTAAAGTATTACCTAGTTGATTCTGACTCTCTCCTGTTTTAAGAATAATTCCTGATGTCTTAAGAAGCTCTACAAATACACTATCATTTTCTTCAACTTCATTATGAACATGAGATTTCTTTGTCTTTTTGGAAAGTGGTGGTTTCCTGGCTTCTGAAAAGATAAATTTTCAAAAATGTGACAAATAGTAAAGCAAAGATTAAAAGATAAACCCACAAATAATAACCCTAAGAGGGAAGCTGATCTGTTCCTCTACTAGAATTGATGCTGCAGTGAAATGAACTGTCTCTAACAGTGGTCAGCAATAGTGGCTTTCAAATCAATCAATCAACGAACCAATCAACCAATACAATTATTTTCACCTATTGAGTTTTCAAGGAGTCCTGACGGTGCAGTGGTTAAGCGCTCAGCTGCTAAGCGAAAGGTCAGAAGTTTGAACCCACCAGTGGCTCTACAGGAGAAAGATGTAGCAATCTGCTTTTGTAAAGATTACAGCCTAGAAAACCCTATGGGGCAGTTTTATTCTGTCTTATACGATCACTATGAATCTGAATCGACTCAATGGCAATGTTTTTTTTTAACTGAATTTTCATTTGAAGAATTAAAAATGTATCACATCTAACAAAGATCATCACGAAGATGTTTTCTACCAAAATTATAAAGCAATCAGTGCCTCTCAAGCTTTTTTCTGCAAACCACTGCACTGGAATCACTGGATGCTTATTAAAATGCATATTCCCAGGTCCCATCCCAGAGCTATAAGTCAAAATCTCTGGGATTGGGCCTGGGAGTCTGAATTTTTAAAAAGCTCTCCAGATAATAATCCTGATGCTCACCACAGTTTGAGATCAGTGATCTGGATGCAAGGGTAGACAGAATGAGGCAGGTTCTCCAGCATCAATCATATCTTTGAGTACAAAGCCCAGATTGGTTTCATCCAAAGCTTTTAACCCATAAGGAATAAAATGTAATAAACAAGCAAGCAAACAAAAAAAACAAGCATGAAATCTACTCTTCTCTTGTTATGATACAATTTATTCTTTTTGTCTCCAATTCCTCTCCCTCTCTCTAGTAAAAAACCTTGAGCAGAATGAAACAAAGACCCCTGCCTTCCTTAAAAAATTAAAAAAATTAAAAAAAAATTCAGGCATAGCCAGAACAAAAGATTCGATTTATGCGTCACTGATCCAGAGAACCTAAGTCCCTTCCAAAAGTCCCTTCCCTTTTGGAGAACAGTATTCCTATAGTATGACATTTACTTTTAGTGACTTCCTAAATTATCCCTCTTCAGTTTCAATTTTTCTACCAATTTCTCTATGCCCTATATTCCCTTTAGTAACAAATTGTTAGTGCCTCAGAATTTCCTTTTCTAAATCAAGCCTATACCTAACATGGTTTTGGCCTGAAAATTTTTATCATTCTGAATGCTGTATAAGAATCATCAGCAAGTATTTCCATCAATAGCAGCTGTATTTGACCAAAAGCCAAACCCAAATTTCTAGAACCTAATAAGAAATAACATTTTAATCAACAAGTTAGAATTGCCTTAATAGAATAAATGAGTGCAATGGGTGAAAGGATTCTCAACCTCTTCTCTTTGGAACTCTCAGCTTTTGTCAACCACATTCCCATATAAGCACACTGTCTGCCTCTGGTGTGCTTGCTTTGATATACTATCCTTCCTTTATATACCACTATCATAACACTTATCTAGAACATAACTTTTTTTTTTAACTTTCTGATAGGTAAACCATAATTTTCTTGAGTGAACCGTAAGTTTTTTTTTAAAAGGGTGGCTATTGTGCTGTATCTTTGTGCCTAAGTGATGTACGGTAGATAAGTTCTGTAATACTAATCCCTTTTATGGATGTGGAAACTGAGGCTCAGACTGTAGAAATGCCAGAAGTCATATGTGGAATTAGAGGCAGCAACTCAATCCCAAATCTCCTGAACACTAGATTCTGTGTTTTCTTGATGACTCCTAGCACTTGAAAGTAGGAACATTAAACCTCTGTAAGTGCCCCACACATTTGCTACAAGAAAAAAAGCAACAAATGACTAGACACTTACTGGAGGCATCTTCTGTCAGGCTCTCTTTATCTTCTTCAGATTTTGATAGGCTTCTTTTGGAAACCATTTCAACCAAAGTCTTCTGCAGTCAAATTACTTCCTAGAGCAAAATCAGAGACTAGAAGTTACTCTCTAGAAATGAGATAAACTCTGAGAAGTTAAAGCTATAGAAAACTGCTCTATCCCAAACCTGAGGGGTTCTACTTTTTATACTAATGCTACCTAAATCCAGGTGCTAAGCAAATTTCAACTCCTATATCTGGTTAATACTCCCTTGCTTTCAAGACTTACTTGTTTACCTAGTTGCCTCTTTAGCCAGACCACTTCCCTGTTGCTGAAGCATAAAACCCATAGTTCTCTATCTGACATTTGAGATCCTTCATCATCTAGCCCCAGTCTATCTCTCCTTTAATTCATTGGTTCAATACTGTATGTTAGGGACTGAGCTAGATGCTAGGGCTGTGAACAAGACAGACATGATTCCTGCCCTCATGAATTTACTGTTTAGTAAAGGGTGCTATAAGGAGCCCTGATGGCGCAGCGGTTAAGTGTTCAGCTGCTAACCAAAAGGTCAGCAGTTCGAATCCACCAGCCGCTCCTTGGAAACTCTATGGGGCAGTTCTACTTTGTCCTATAAGGTTGCTATGAGTCAGCATCGACTCGATGGCAATGGGTTTGGTTAGTTTTTGGTTAAGGGGTGCTATTAAGGCTTATACAAGGAAATTTAGTTTAGATGGGCAAGGGTAGTGAAGAAAAGCAGAGACAATTTCTCAGGGATAATCTTTCTGAGAAAGTGATTTTTAAGCAGGGACCTGACTGTAGAAATAGGAGTTAGCCAGTAGAGGAGGTATGACAAGAATAGTCATATATAAACTCATGCTGAAACAGGAAAGTGCTTGCAGAGTTAGAAATGAGACGGCAGAGGTAGGCGAGGGCCTGAACCACAGGGCCTGCTAGTCTATCTTATGATAAAGCCAGAATCTTCCTGGCCTCAGTGCCTGTACCCAAGCTGTTCTTTTCACCTGAAATGCTCTTATCTGCCTGGAAATGCCTACTCTGTCAAATGTCATCTTCCTTGAAAAATCTTCCTCCTATCCAGTGGGGAAGTGCTGCTACAGCTGCTAACTAAAAGGTCAGGAGTTGGAATCCACCAGTCACTTCTTGGAAACTCTATGGGGCAGTTCTACTCTGTCCTATAGGGTCGCTATGAGTCAGAATCGACTCAAGGGCAGCTGGTTTGGTTTTTCTGGTATCTCTAACGTAGTGGTGATAGTAGAATTCTTGCCTTTTATGCAGGAGACCCAGGTTCGATTCTTGGCCAAGGTACCTCATGTGCAGCCACCACTCATGTCAGCGGAGGCTTTTGTGCTGTTATGATTCTGAGCAGGTTTCAGCAGAGCTTCCAGACTAAGACAAGCTAGGATAGAAAAGCCTGGTGCTCTACTTCCAAAAATCAGCCAACAAAAATCCTATAGCTCACAACCTATCATGGGGACGGCACAGGATTGGGCAGCATTTCCTTCCGTTTTGCATGGGGTTGCCATCAACAGGGCCAACTCGGCAGCAGTCAATGACAATAACATCCCTGAGGGAGTCTGCTACTCCAGCCTCCCAGCTCCCTGGAGTATATATTAAGGCTCTTAATACATCACACTAGACTGTGGGGCTCCTTGAGGGCAGGAATCAAGTCTCATTCATTTCATATCCTTAGTGGCCTGTATAGTACCTAATACAAAGAAAATATCTGAGAATATTTGCTAAATGAGAATGGCTAGCAAGGAAGGTAAAATACTAATAGCTAACACTTACTGAGCATTTACTATGCAGCAAGAACTGTAAAGTGCTTTATACTTAATAATTTATTCTTCACAAACCTTTTTCAGGCAGCCATCATTATTATCATCCCATTCAATGGCAGAGCTGGGATTCTAACTCAGGCAGTCTAATCCTAGTATCTGCACTTTTAACCACCATCTATAGTTAGGAGTTGGAATCCACTCGACAGCAACGGGTATACTTACTCTTGATTATGTCTTCCAATAATAGTTAACATTTATAGTGTGTCAGGCACTGTTGTAAGCTTCTTAAATATCCGTTGCCTTGTTCAATCCTCACAATCATTATCAATCATTTTGCAGATAGAAAAACTAAGGCTCAAAAGTTACACATGCTAAGTCAGGACAGTCTGATTTGAGGGCACACATGCTTAATCTATCTGCTTATACTGTCTCGCTTCCACAGAAGCCTAAAAGAGGAGCAGATGGGGTCAGGTAAACTGGGAAGAGGCTGGGGCGAAAAGCCCTTCTCATTTCATCATTTTAACGGCCCAGGGAGGTATCTGAACAGATTATCCAAAGATGAGACAGATAAGGAAGCCGAGGTTCGGGGCGCGGAGACCCAGAGGGAAAGGCTCGGTTCAGCCTGAGACTAGACACCAACATGCAAGGGCGCGGGGCCCGAAGAGATTATAACAACAGCTCCACTCACCCGCCGGGGAGCCGTCACCGCCTTTAGCTCTCGACTTTCCCGCCGCCGAGACGCCACTCTGACGACATAGAGGCACGCCACGCCAGTACGTCACAAGTCTGCGCCGGAAGTGGGCCGCCGGGCGGCCCAGTGGGGAATAGAGCTCGGCTCGAGGCCGCTGCTGAGTCCCGGGCCAGCCAGGCTGAGTGGCGTGAGAAGGCCCGGAGGTGAACCTGAAGAGGAGCCTCCGGTCCTCGGGGAGGACAAGTCCGGCGACTCTCGGCCGGGGGCCGCCTCTCAGTGAAGATGGCGGGGCCGGAGCTACTGCTGGACTCCAACATCCGCCTCTGGGTGGTCCTGCCCATCGTTATCATCACTTTTTTTGTGGGCATGATCCGCCACTACGTGTCCATCCTGCTGCAGAGCGACAAGAAGCTCACCCAAGAACAAGTGTCCGACAGGTCAGCGCCCTCCCCTCCGCGGCCGACCTCACACCCCCGTGACCTTGGGCAAAAAAGTGCTGGGGGTTATGTCAGTTTGCCTGAGTTCGCATTGCGCCCCCACTGACTGGGTTATCCTGGCCGAGTTACCGCTCTGTGTTTCACTTTGGTCATCTGTAAAACGGGGATGATAACAGTACCTTCTTCATTGAGCTGGCATGAGGATTAAACAGATTATGTCTGTGAAGACTTCGGCGCAGGGGCTGGGACGTATTAAGTGCTCAAAAAAAAAAAAAAATTGTTGCTCTTAAGGTTGTTAGGCTAGTTGCCAACCCTCAGTAGGCTTATCTGTAAATTACCCAGTCCCACTCTTTGGTTGGAAAAAGTGCCTAATGAGTGCCAGGTGCGATACTTTAGTCTTTCTAACATCCACTCATATGATTGTCTCCGTTTTACCGAACTACTGTAATGATCAGCTGAGATGCTAAGTAGGAAAACACTTTGCAAACTATAAAACTGCCATAGTAGTTAACTGGGGAGTAGCAATTGTCATTTCATCTCCTGCAGTGCAGACAATTTCTTTCTCACATGCTTCATTACAGTGTTTATCTGCAGACAGGTGATTTGAGATGATTTTAGATGGTACCTAGACATGTGCCCCCCACCCCCATATTAAAATAAATAACAATTTTCAGTCAATCTTTCTGATTTTTTCAAAGAGCCTGTATTGGTTTCCTAAGGCTGCCGTAACAAAGTCCCACAAAGTGGGTGACTTAAAACAGCAGAAATTTATTGTCTCACAGTTCTGGAGGCTAGAAGTCTAATTCTGGGTGTCAGCAGGGTCATGTTCTCTCCAGAGGTTCTAGGGTCAGATCCTTTCTTGTCTCTCTCAGCTTCTGGTAGCCCCAGACATTCTTTGGTGCGTTTGTGCATCTTCACATGGTCATTTTCCTCTGTCTCTCCGTGTCTCTTCTTTTTTGTAAGGACACTACTCTGATGGGACCACTCTACTCCGTATGACCTCATGTTAACGATAACATCCTCGAATACCCTATTTCCTAGTAAGGTCCCATTCACAGGTACCAGGGTTTAGGACTTGAGCATATTTGGGGGGCAGGCACAATTCAGTCTATAGCAGAGACTCTCTCAGGTAGTTGCTACTACGTTTTTAATGCCTCCTGGTCACTTATTAGAAGGAGCCCTGGTCACGCAGTGGTTAACTGCTCGGCTGCTAATCGAAAGGTTGGCAGTTCGAAGCCACCAGCCGCTTCTCAGGAAAAAGATGTGACACTGCTTCCGTAAAGATTTGCAGCCTTGGAAATCCTATAGGGGCAGTTCTACTCTGTGCTATTCACTATGAGTCAGAATTGACTCAGTGGCAATAGATTCGGTTTTTTGATTTTTTTAATCTCCCATCTTAGCAAAGAGAGCAAGCCTCAGGCTCAGAACTTTGTACAAGCAACATTATCTAGCCAAAATTTAATAATGTTATTTTGTTTTTATTGTGTTTGTTTTAATAGTTACACTCTGTAGAGTAATACTGGTTTTCCATTTGCTGGTAATTTAAAGATTCCTTTGAAAAGTTACATAAGTAGAAAAAGAATTGGTATGTAAAAAATATTAAATAAAGAGTACAAGTGCTAGGTGAATAAGACAAAGATCATAACCATGGATGTTTGAGAAGCACAGCTTTATTTTTTCAGTATCCCCCCCACCCCCCATTATGCTGAGAAGATTAAGAATAGCCAACATTTGTTAAGCACTTATTCTATGCCAGGCACTATGGTAAGCACTTATATTCGTTAACTTATTTAAAACTCATAGCAATTCTATGAGGTAGGTGCTAGTGTATTACTCTGTAGAAACCTAGGCTTAAGAAGGTTCTATGACTATCCCATGGTCACACATGGTGACATTCAGGACTGGAAGCCAAGTCTCCTGGTTCCCAAGTCCAAGACTCTTTCCTTACTCTATAGCTGCTGTAGTTTTCTGTGGCATCAGTTTCAGAACTGATCAGAACCAGCCCCCTGGAGCTAACCTTAAGAAGTCTGTTCACCACAGAATGGAAGACTATGGGGAAGGACTCAAAGTAGAAAGAGGTCTGACATTCAGCATTTATTGACTCCAATGAATTGTTCTCATTTCATCCTCACAATAACACAGTGAGGTAGATATACCTAACCCCATTTTTACAGTTTAACAAAAGGAAGCCCAGAGAAGTTAAATAGCCTTCCCAAAGTAACCTATACTTGAACCCAGGTCAGTCTCACTCCCAAGTTAAACTCTCTTAACCACAATTCCTGTTCTCATAGATTCTCTGCCACGATTGTCTGCTTAGTCCACTATGTGACTTTAGAGCAATGGTTCTAAATTATATCATGCCCAAAGCTTCCTTTTCTAACCCCAAATGAAATTGACGGTACAATCTACATACCATAGCAAACAGACAAAAATAGCAATAATACATGCTGTAGCTGTAACCATCAGGAGAAATGAAAGTAATTTATGATAAGATGATTTATATTTCATAAGTGTTTCTGCACAACTATCCTAGAAGATAATGCAGAAGTTAGATACATACATGTAGATATAAAATCACCATAATTGGGGCAAATTCAATTGTAGGCTGATACAGATGTGTTAGCTACTTAAATATCACGAAAGGTGATGCTGTCATGGATGTGATTTTCCTAAGTGGTGAACTACTCTTGATAAAGTCCTGAAGAAAACAAACTGCAATCTTCTGTATATTTACTCAGTGTTTGTATACCTGGAAATTCAATAATATAAAAACCATGCAAAAAAATAATAAAATGGAATTGGGTTTGAGGTTTAGATTATTAAAAAACAATTTGGTGGGACATCCAAAAGTAGTGCAGAACATGGGGTAATTCTTTGTATTGCATGACCATCCCCAGCATTGTGGGACATCCTGAGCCCTTACCCCTAACAAATGACAGTTATGTGAGTCCCCTTCTCTCCATCATTTTAACAACCAAAAAAAGTACCACAGATTTCCGTAAGGTCCACGAGAGGGCAGTACTGCCCCCATAGAGAACCACTGCTTTAGATAAAACTCCACATCTCCATCCTAATTTCCTCATCCCTTAAGTAAAGTAGTTGGATCACATGATATCCCTAGAACCTGCAAGCTCCAACATGGTGTGGCTTTGCCCCAACCAGGTCATCACGGGAATTCAGGAGTGTCCCTCAGTTGATTCTGAGCTTGTCTAAGTCCAAGGCAAAAGATGTCTTTTACTTGCAAAATATTCCTCTAAATACGGTATAAATTTCCATTAGCCTGAATGATCACAAAATGGGACATTTGGTTTCTTAAATTATTAAGCTTTTACCACTTCAGAACTTACTAAAACATTTCGAAAATTAATTAAACCAAAAATGAAAAATAAGTATATTAGACCACATTGGGGAGTAGAATGGATGTAAAAAGTGGTTTCAAACTTTAAAAATACACTGGCCTCTTAGAAAGGAAAAACAATCACAGAGCCTTAAGAATATGTAGCTGTTGTTTGAGAAATACTGCCTTTAAAAACTAAAGTTTTATTCTAAGAAACTGTCAGTGCAAATTTCCATTACAAAAGAGCTTTATTTTTATAACTAGTAAATGATGTATTTTAGATACATGTGGAAATGAAAACAAAATTTAAAATTTCTTGTAGAATTTTCAGACTTCAGAGAATACAGTTATGAATCACAACTTAATGGAATGAGTGTTCAGTATACAGGCAGTATCCAGATTACGAGCAAGTTCCGTTTCTAAATCTGTCTTTAAGTCAAAATTTGTACGTAAGTCGGAACAGTTAGGTACGGTTCGTATATAACATCAGTCACGTGTTTATCTTAGTATATAGTACCGGCATGCCTCGCCTTATTGTGCTTCGCAGATACTGCATTTTTTACAAATTGAAAGTTTATGACAACCCTGCATTGAGCAAGTCTGTTGGTACCATTGTTCCAACAGCATATGCTCACTTCATGTCTGTGTGTCACATTTTGGTAAGTCTTGCAATATTTCAGACTTTTTCGTTATTATTATATCTGTTGTGGTGATCTGTGATCAGTGATCTCTGATATTATTGTAATTGTTTTGGGACACCATGAACCACACCCATATAAGACAGTGAACTTAATTGATAAATGTGTGTGTTCTGACTGCTCCACCGACTGGCTGTTCCCCCATCCCTCTCCCTCTTGTTGGGCCTCCCTGTTCCCTGAAACATGGTAATATTGAAATTAGGCCAGTTAATAACCCTACAATGACCTCTAAGTGTTCAAGTGAAAGGGAGAGTGGCATGTCTCTCACTTCAGATCAAAAGCTAAAAATGATTAAGCTTAGTGAGGAAGGCACGTGAAAGCCTAGATAGGCCAAAAGCTAGGCCTCTAGCACCAAATAGTTAGCCACGCTGTGAATGCAAAGGAGAAGTTCTTGAAGGAAATTAAAAGTGCTACTCCATTAAATGTATGAATGGTAAGAAAGCAAAACAGCCTTATTGCTGATACGGAGAAAGTTTTAGTGGTCAAACCAGCTACAACGTTCCCGGAAGCCAAAGCCTAATCCCGAGCAAGGCCCTAACTCTCTTCAATTCTGTGAAGGCTGAGAGAGGTGAGGAAGCTGCAGAATAGAAGTTTAAAGGTAGCACAGGTTGCTTCATGAGGTTCAAGGAAAGAAGCCATTTCCATAACAGAAAAGTGCAAGGTGAAGCAGCAAGTTGTCCAGAAGATCTAGCTAAGATAATTGATGAAGGTGGCTACACTCGACAACAGATTTTCAATGTAGACAGAACAGCCTTATCTTGGAAGAAGATGCCATCTGGGACTTTCATAGCTAGAGAGAAGTTAATGCCTGGTTTCAGAGCTTCAAAGGACAAGCTGACTCTCTTGTTATGGGGCTAATGCAGTTGGTGACTTTAAGTTGAAGCCACTGCTCATTCACCATTCTGAAAATCCCTAGGCCCTTAAGAATTATGCTAAATCTACTCTGCCTGTGCTCTATAAGTGCAACCACAAAGCCTGGATGACAGCACATCTGTTCATAACATGGTTTACTGAATATTTTAAGCCCACTGTTGAGACCTACTGCTCAGAAAAAAGGATTCCTTTCAAGATATTACTGCTCGTTGACATTGTACTTAACTGCACAATACAGTAGGGCAGGAGGAGGAAGACTGAAAAGAATTCTACCAGGCCCCCAGGCATCAGGGAGGGCTTCATGGAGGAGGTGAGGCTTGAAGAAGGTGTTAGGCACCATGGGGCAGAATTGGTAACAGAGGGGCACTAGAGCATTGCCAGCATCTGGAGAAGCTGGAGTATGCTTAGGGTGACAAGGGGACCTATGGGTACTGATTGCTTAGAGCAGGTGGTTTGTATTGAGGAGCAGAGAAAGGGAAAGCCAAGCACTTGTGTTTATTTCTGTCTACAATTTCTTGTTTCACTTTTCAGAAAAGATTTCCATTAATTGACAGTTTTAGGTTTTTTCCCCTCAAAACAACTTTTGAAAACCTAGAAAAAATTAGTATTTTGATCTCCATTCTGTTTGATATTTGTATCTAAACAACACCCACCTGTTTTCTAACACTTTGTTCTCTTTAATGATTGATTGCGTTCTTCTAATATCACCAGATCATTTCATTTATCAATTCAATAAATGTTTATTGAGAGCTTACTAACGTCTGAATCCTAGGTGGAATTTTCTATTGGTTGTCTGTCAGATAACAACCGTTTCAAGAAATGTACTCTTTTCTCTGTGGAGTTTTTATTTTTTCCCCATACAAAAATTTATGCACACTTGTTATGTGATCTCTGTGGGTTTTTAAAAGTTCCTTCTTTCATCCTCACTCTTCCCTTCCTCTCCCATCCCCAAATCTTCTGAGCAGTCTCCAACTACTACTCTTCACTCAGAGAAAGTTCCTTCTTGACTCATTATAAAGTAAGAAAAAGCCAAGTACAATGTCCCAAATGTACCTTCCTTAGAAATCCTTATTTAAAAACACAGCCACTTCTGAAAACTACTCTTTTGAAAACCTGATTGTTGGGTTTAAACATGTTATATTGGTTTTAAGGATACTTGTATTTTGAAAAGTTTCCACACAGGGCTGTTGCCAAATAGGCCCTCTCTTGTGTTTAAATAGGTCTTCTACGTAGTTCTCTCATTTTCTTCTAGTGTTTCACTTTTAAAAAATCTCATTGTCTTGGTTGTATTTTTCAGTCAAGTCCTAATTCGAAGCAGAGTCCTCAGGGAAAATGGAAAATACATTCCCAAACAGGTACTTATTTATCTTTTATTAACAGCTTGACGATTCACTGTTGAGGACAGTAGATACCTGAATGTTTTATAAGGGGACTCTTTGGGGAAAGCTGGAGATTGGCAGCTCAGTAATTAAGCCATGGCCTAGTGGTGTTTGCTGTCATTGTAACCTCACCCTTCTTAGAAAATTGTTTTTAAGTGTGACTCAGCTAAAGTGTCAGGTCAGCTGCCAAATAGGCTGACAGTTCTGAGTGTAAAGGCATATTCCAAGGGCCTACTGACTAAACCTCTGGGGAATAATTTGACAATTTGTTGTGCCACAGTTCTAAGACTTAAAAAGGTTTTTTTTCCTACTAGTCCTTCTTGACGCGAAAATATTACTTCAACAACCCAGAGGATGGATTTTTCAAAAAAACTAAAAGGAAGGTAGTGCCACCTTCTCCTATGACTGGTATGTTTATTCCCTTCTTTTATCTTTAAGGAAGATTTTGAACATAGATTGTTGTCTGGGAGGGGACAGAGGGGTGTTATTTTATCTAAATGTTAAATTGTGAAAGATAGCAATCTAAGGGACTTTAGAAATCACCTAGTACAGGGATCTATGGACATGGAGTTCTCTTTTTCAAATAAATTTTCTGGGAACCCCAGTATATGAAGTGGATAAAAAGGGAGCTCTCTGTTGAGGTAGTGGGAAGCCAGAGCCATGGCCTGGGTCTCTCCTCTTTGCTCTTCCTTAGGATCTGGGGCTCTGTGGCACACAGGTAGAAAAGCATGCCACTCCCAGCTCCCACCCAGTGCCTGATCCTATTCCTGACAGGTGACCACCTAGCTTCTGCTTTAATGGTGAGGACCTCACTCCCCCTAAAACTAACCATTTCTCTCTTTTTTTTTTTTTTTTT